GGGAATAGAGTTGGTAGCTCGGGATGTTGAGGAGACAGGGTTGATAGGGCCCTGGTACTTGGGCTGTGGGAGGTTAGGAAGAGGGAATAGAGTTGGTAGCTTGGGATGTTGAGGAGACAGGGTTGATAGGGCCCTGGTACTTGGGCTGTGGGAGGTTAGGAAGAGGGAATAGAGTTGGTAGCTCTTTGTTGTATGTATTAAAATGTTTTCCCTAGCTTTTTTCCCTCTTTTTTGGTCTTATTTTAGCCTCCTTTTAATATATAGAAGTTCTTACATAGTTAAATTTACCTATCTGTTCTTTAATGACCTTTAGGTTTCATAGTATGTTAAGGATTTCACCTTGAGATTATAAAATGATCCCCTATGTTTTCTTCTAGTACTCGTGGTTTCATTTTATTCCCCCATATTTACATCTTTTATCTCTGGAATTTATATGCAAAAGAGTGATGTGGAGCTCTGGCTGGTTTGGCTCAGCAGTAGAGCATCAGCCCGCGGACCAATGAGTCTCGGGTACGATTCTGGCCAAGGGCGCGTACCTCGGTTGCGGTTTGTCCCCGGCCCTGGTTAGGATCGTGTGAGAGGCAAGCAGTTGATGTGTCCCTCTCATGTGGATGTTTCTCTCTCTCTTTCTTCCTTTATCTCCCTCCCACTCTATCTGCAGATAAATAGAAAAATATCCTTGGGTGAGGATTAAAAAAAACACAAAAGAGTGATATGGTGATTGGCTTATTTTCCAGAAAGTTACCCCAAACCTCGACCTATTTCACTGTAACTGTGGGAGAGGGTGGTGTTTTCTGTATGACTGTTAAAAAGAGGTAGGAATTACGCAATTTGAAGAATCAGGAGCAAATCAGGTTCAGATTAGGTGGGTACTTCATTATCAACTTAAAAATTTATTTGAGGTCAGTGATGGGTGAATGAAGGTTTTTTCCAACACCCCCAAGCAATTAACCTAATTCTGACACTGTCTACCCAGTGATAGCATCAGATCACACAAGTTAAGGGGTCAGCACCACAAGACTGCCCTTCCACCCCCGTTAGACGCTAATTGCCAAGGTCAGGTTGTTGCTGTGCTTCTGACCAGCCTCTCCTTGGGTTCAGTTAATCTGGTAGAGCTGCTCACAGGACTCAGGGAAACATGTCATTTACTAGACTATCAATTTATTATACAGATGTAACTTGAACTGTCAGAAGGAAGAGATGTAGAAAACAAGGTATGCTCTCTGGGTGTGGCACTCCATCAAACCTTCCTGTGTTCACGGACCTGGAAGCTCGTAGAAGCCTGTCCTTTGGGGAAATTATGGAGGCTTTATTACATAGGCACAACTGATTAATTCAACCTCCAGCCCGCTCTCCTCTCTGAAGGTCAGGGAATGGGACTGAAAGTTCCAACCTTAGCTTTCGGAAAGTCAGAAAGTCACCTCATTAATATAATAAAAGCATCACTCTTGTCACTTCAGAAATTTCAAACATTTTAGGAGCTTTATGCCAGGAACATAGACCAAATATGTATCTCTTATTGTAAACCATAACCACAATGCATTCTGAATAGTTTGAAACCTTTAGTGTAATTAGTATTATTGAGAGACAGATTAAAGAAGAGGTTTTTCTATAAACCTATGTTGGTTTGTGTCAGGTCAAGTAAGCTAGAACTGGCTTTCTTTAAAAAAAAAATTTTTTTTTAAATTGATTTTAGAGAGAGGAAGGGAGTGGGAGAGAGAGATACAAACATCAGTGAGAGAGAACATGGATTGGCAACCTCCTGCATGCCCCCCACTGGGAATCAGGCCCACAACCTGGGCATGTGCCCTGATCAAGAATCAAACCAGCTACCTCTTGGTGCGTGGGTTGACGCTCAACCATTGAGCCACACTGGCCAGGCTTGGCTTTCTTTTTTAAAAAATTTTTATTGATTGATTTTTAGAGAGAGAGAGTCATCAGCTTGTTGCTCCTCTTACTTATGCATTCATTGGTTGATTCTTGTATGTGCCTTGACTGGGATTGAACTTGAAACTTTGGCATATGGGGATGACACTCTAACCAACTGAGCTACTCAGCCAGGGCTAGAACAGGTTTTCACTGTTTTATTTTGTATCTCCGAGTTTTTTAGAATATAATTTAAGGGGAAGGGTCCTGGATGGAAATAAGCAAACCTGAGTATAGAGTACTATTTTTATATCAAACTCAATTTAGGGTGTCAAGACACTTCTTTTTCTTTTTTAACATCGCCCACTAAGTACAGTGGGGGTGGCACTCCAGTCCTGTTTACCCTTAGGTGGCTATGAGGCTGTCCAGCACAGGGTCAGCTCAAGGGGAACACATTGGAGGTCTGCTGCAATGGTGCTGCTTCCTCCTTTCCTGTGCGGTAACCCATGGGAGTTAACTGAGGGCTAGAGAGTGAATCAGGGAAAGTAGCAGAGAAATAAGTGTGCGTATGGGTCTTCAGGGCCAGGAATTTGTCTTTGAATAATTCTCTTGCTATTTACTTAATTCTTTTGTTACTTTGTAGCTCTCCATCTGCACATGTTTGAATTCTGCTGGTGATAACCATCTACTCAAGCTATCTGACTTTTAAAATTCACTTTATCTTTATTTTTTAAATTACAAAGCTAACAGGCTGTAGGTGGGAGAACCATTCAAACAGTTTAGCAGTGTGTAAAGTACCTCTTCTGATACCTCTGTTTCCTTTTTTCAGAAGAAACCACTGTTGTGTTCCACCCCAGTGCCTCTAAAGTTAAGAGGCCAAAAGAAGCAGTAACAATGGCTTGTTCTATGGTTCCTCCTTTGGTTCCCCCTCCCTCACCATTCCTCCTTGTTGAAATGGACCTCAGTCACTAGGGGAGGAATTTCTGAATGATAGGGTATGTGCAGGCCCAGCTTCGGTGGGTCCTGCCCGTGGATCGGTTACACTCCCACCAGGAATCTCACACTCCCCGTTGCCCCTGTCCTTGCTAACACTTGACACATTTAGCCATTCTGGTGAGGTATCTTATTCTAATTTCTATTAGGGTCTTTCTGGTGACTACTGATTTGAACACCTCTTGTAAATTTATGAGTCATTTAAATATCTTTTTCTGAAATTCCTGTGTAAGTCTCTTACTTGTTTTTCAATTTTTTTTTTTTTTGCTTAATCCTCACCCAAGGATATTTTTCCATTGATTCTTAGAATGGAAGGGAGCGGGGCAGAGAGAAACATCCATGTGAGAGAGACACATCAGTTGGTTACCTCCCACACGATTCCTGGACTGGGGCTACGGATCGAACCTGCAACCCAGATATGTGCCCTTGACTGGGGATCAAACTTGCCGTCTATAGGTGCGTGGGAAGATTCTCAGTCAACTGAGCCACATGGGCCAGGGCAAAAAAACCTTGGAGTTTGATTGGGATTACATAGGAGAGTTTTTTTGTGGAAAGGTTGTAAATTATTATTCAATTTCTTTAATGAATATTGGCCTTTTCAAGTTTTCTATTTCTTGTCAATTTTAGTAAGTTGTGTTTTTTCTTAAATTGTTTTTTAATTTGTTCATCTCATCTAAATTTTGGAATACTGGCATAAAATTGTTCACAGTAGTGTCCCTTTTTTTTCTTTTTGGAGATTTGGTTTTTAACTTGGTTATTAAGGAGTTTGAGTAGAGAAATGAAAGAACTTCATTATGTTTAATTTTGTTGATGGAATTGCTGGGGAGTGGTTGAGAATGAAGTTTCCTTGATGTTAGGAAAGGAGGGTAAGTATGTGTTCATACTTAGGAAACCCTGCTGGCCTGGCTCCCGGGTGCTCTGGGCCTCTCCCCTCAGCGTCTCTGGCTCACGAGCATCTCTCCAAGGCTCCCTGGGCTCTGGGGTCGTCTGCGCTTTGGTCTATTCACGATGACTCTACTTGGTTTCATTAGAAATAAACACTTTGGCCCTGGCTGGTGTTGCTCAGTGGTTAGAGCGTCGGCCTGTGGTCCAGAGAGACCCGGGTTCGGTTCCTGCTAAGGGCACGTACCTCGGTTGCAGTTTGTCCCCAGCCCTGGTTGGTCGTGTGGGTGGCAGCCACTCGATGTGTCCCTTTCACGTCAATGTTTCTATCTCTTCCTCTCTCTCTTTCCCACTCTGTCTGAACAAAAAATGGAAAAATGAGACTTGACAACCCGCAGATGAAGGGGTGTGTGTGGGGGAGATAAACCACTGAACTTATATGCATGTACGCATAACCAATGGACATGGACAACAAAGCCGGGGACGGGGCGGAGGGGATGGGGAGGGAGGGTGTCAATGGGGTAAAAAGGGAGAAACATCTGTAACAAAAATAAAATTAAAAGTAAAATTAAAACCAAAAAACAAAACAAAAACATAAAAAAAGGAAAAATGTCCTCGGGTGAGGAAAAATAAATAAATAAATAAAATTTAATTAACATTATAAAAAGTTATTGAAGAATCATCAGTCGTTGAATTACCTAGCCAAGCAATGCAACTGGAGTAATATTAATTTAAGAGACTGTGTAAAATTTCTCAGATCAGTTCCTTAAAATCAATCTGTTACCAAGATGTGATGAAATGTTTTCAAGAGAATTGCCCAAAATTCCCACATAATGGGATTGCCTCCAAATAAACATAAAAACCAGAAAAACAAAAATAAAGTATCCTGGGTGACATATTTCAGAAGTCATTGTGCATTTCGTGTTGCTAGGGAGCGTTATCACATCATTGTTCCAAGTCAGGAGCTTCCAGAGGACAGGTGCTTCTCTGGGGACAATAGAACCCTTCCTTTCCCACAAGTGGTAAAGTCACCATGACCATGACCAAAGACGAATCTTTCTTTAGTTCTTTCCATGAACAGAACTGAACTTCTTGGTGACTACATTAGTGTCATCAAAATTTGATTGGCTTTAAAGCTGAGATGCTTAAATCATTGTGTTAGGGATTTAAAATTTCACTTGTTAATGGAAGTTATTTTTTTAATTTGTGCTTAATTTTTTTCCTAATCTAAATGATGTTTAATATTGTTAACTTTTCAGGAATTACCCAACTCTGTCTTTCTGGTGATGGAGGTAGGTAGTATACAAGCTTCTAATTTATTTCAGATTCCTTTTGATTACTATGCACTTTAAAATTGACAGGTAATTATTTGAATTAATAAAGTTGATTCATTGATTTAGAGTCTATAAGGAAAATAACATTAAAAATTTTATTCTATACTTATGTTTTTCAGACTACAATGAATTTACATCATATACAATGAATTTTGAATTAAAATGAACTGATAATGAATTAATTTTGAACTGGTATCCTTATTTTAATTACTTTTTCTTTTACATGTCAGTATTGCAATGATAGAGACTGGGCAGATTATTTGCAAGGTAATTTTTGTGTGTGTCAGTGTTCAATAAAGATAGCAATCTGTGTAATTCTGAGAGTTACTTCTGAAATATGCCACCTCTGTTTTCTGCACTTATATAGAAACAGTCAATACATATTTGTGTACTTGTCTAGTTGTGGTCACTTTGCTGACTAACTATAGTTTGTTGAAGTTTTGTTCTCATACTGTACTGTGTATAAGTACTTACGTTGTGTGTGCCTCTCTGTGACAGTGTTTGAGAAGTGGCTCCTCTTCCCACGAGAGAAAGAAATCTAACAGATTTCTCCTCCTCTTAGGAGTCTACTGGGTTGCCATCAGTGAACCATTAGCCCCTTAATTTCTTTCACAACAAAAAGAAAGTTGTAATGGGAGAATGTATCCAAGAATATGTTGATTAATGTGAATGTTTGATGTGAATCTAAAAATCTTATAAAGAATTAAAAGTAACACTGAAATTATTTTGTATCACAGAGATAAGATTTTAATATTAGATGGTTTTTGAAATTCTCTGTCCAAAACATGTACATGTATGATAATGAGCATTCAGGTAAAATTGTATCTCTCAAAAGTATTTTTAATGATATTAGAGGAGGTAAGCATCTTTCTGTTTACCCCTGAAAGATGCAAGGAAAATATGCAAAAATGTAAATAAATAGGTCATGGCAGTTGATGGTAAAAACACTAAGACATCAATAGATAACACCCACAAAGAGTATGTGCAGTTTACAAGAGAGAAACAACATATTAAAGATTTTCTATTTCACCTAGTATTCAGGGAGTGCAATTAAAAATGAGATTTTAAACAATCTTTAGAATGAAAACAAGACTAAACAACAATAAACATCTTTAAAATATTGGTGAAATTAAAAAGCTGTGTAGAGAATAATATAAAAAACACTGGCATCCCCCACAGTAAAGAAATTACAGACACAGGTGAAGCTCTGTGTAAGGCCTTCTGTAGTCCCATGTCTGCCTTCTCCTCTAGTGACAACCATTACCCTGAATGTGGTAGTTTATTACACGTGTTTTTGTATTTTTTCCAACTCAGATTTTTTTTTAATTCCTCACCTGAGGATATTTTTCTTTTTCTTTTTTTATCTTCACCCGAGGACATTTTTGCATTTCTCTTCAGATAGAGCGGGAGGGGGTGAGGGAGGAAGAGAGAGAGAAACATCGATGTGAGAGAGACACATTGAGTGATTGCCACCCATACGACCCCAACTGGGGCCTGGGACAAACTGCAACTGAGGTATGTGCCCTTAGCAGGAACCGAATCCAGGACTCTTGGATCCGTGGGCTGATACTCTAATCGCCGAGCCAAACTGGCCAGGACAATATATTTTTCTATTTATCATCAGATAGAGTGGGAGGGAGGAGAGACAGAGAGAGACATTGATGTGATAGAGCCACATTGACTAGGTTGCCTCCTACATGCCCCAACCAGTGGGGACAGACCACAACCAAGGCATGTGCCCTAGACCAGAGTCGAACCCAAGACTCATTGGTCCACGGGCTGACGCTCTAACTGCTGAGTCAAACTGGCCAGGCCATGACTTTTTTTTAAAATTATTTTTTCTTTATTGATTATAGAGAGAAGAAGGGAAGAAAGGGGAGGTAGAGAGAGAGAAACATCGACTTGTCCCACTTATCTATGCATTTGTTGGTTGATTCTTTTTTTTTTTCCCTTATTGATTTTAGAGAGGAAGGGAGGGGGGGAGAGAGACAGAAACATTGATGAGAGAGAACATCGATTGGCCGCCTCCTGCATGTCCCCCACTGGGGATCGGGCCCACAACCTGGGCATGTGTCCTGACCGATAATTGAACTGGCGACCTCTTGGTGCATGGGTCCATGCTTAACCACTGAGCCACACTGGCCAGCCAGACCGTTGGTTGATTCTTGTATATGCTCTGACTGGGGATCGAACCCACAACCGTGGCGTATCTAATGAACTGAGCTATCCAGCCAGGGCTACTTGTGATTTTTGGATTCATTGCAATAAGTTTATATTTGTGTACTAACTATTTGAGTACTTATTTAAAGTCTTCATTATTGCCCTGGCTGGTTTGGCTTAGCGGTTAGAGTGTCAGCTAGTGGACCAGTGAGTCGCGGGTTCGATTCTGGTCAAGAGCACGTACCTCGGTTGCGTTTTGCCCTGGCTCTGGTTGGGTCATGTGGGAGGCAACCGGTTGATGTGTTTCTCTCACGTTGATGTTTCTCTCTCCTCCCTCCCTCCCATTCAGTATCTGATGATAAACAGGAAAATATCTTTGAGTGAGGATTTAAAAAAAATAAAGTCTTCATTATTAAATGTGGTATCGTGTTTGATTGCCAATGTGGTTGGCCTGTTTTCAGCTTTTTAATAGATGAGGGGTGGGCACAGGGGCATCATCTTTCGGGGTCACACAGAAGCAGGTGGAGGAGCTGGGGTTTGAAGAGGCACCCTGACTCCAAATCCACCTGTTCATTAGCATCACACAGTCCAGTGTACACACAGAAACCCTGGAGTGTTTACTGAATAACAAGTGTCCTCAAAAATAACATTCCTACTGCCTCTTTATAATAGTGAAAATAGGTTAAACAGATCTTCCTAAAGGTGTCTTTAGATGTGAAAAATACTGTGGTGGGACAGCAGTGTTGGTCAGGAGGGAGAGTAAAGGAGGCGCATGTGGGAACACAGATTCCTGACGGGTCTAAGTGGCAGCAATATCCAAGCGTCTCATTCAAGGTGAATCGGTTTGTAATTTGTGCTCATACAATGGTTAGAATTAAATATGGACATTTACCCAGATATTTGACCAATGTGAAGGGAAACTTATTTTCTGGCTTGTGGAGGGGACTCCCATTTGCTGAACACCTGTTATACTGAGAGAAGTGAGGAAGGAAAAACAGAAGTGAACAAGATGCAAATGTAAATCAGTTTTCTTTACAACAAATTAATTAAAACTTTTGAGGTATTTGATATTTCTTCGTAGACTTAAATTATTAAAATAAAAAAAGAAAAAAATGCAAATCCAGTTTCCTCCATGGTCTCCTTAGCAACTCAGTTCTGTTGTTGGCATGTGCAGAAGGTATTTGATTTTGTGTGCTTACATATTTATGTGACTCCCTTTCTACCAGCTAAAGGAACTCTCAGTGAAGATACCATCAGAGTGTTTCTGCATCAGATTGCAGCGGCCATGCGAATTCTGCATGGCAAAGGAATCATCCATAGGGACCTCAAACCACAGAACATCTTGCTGTCTTACGCCAATCGCAAAAAGTCCAGTGTTGGTGGCATTCGCATCAAGATAGGTAAATAACCATATATTGTTTCATGCAAAAAACACTTTTGAGACTCAGTATTTTTAGATAATTTTAGTTCAGCTTTGTTAGAATGAGTGATTTTGTTGATGCACTTTGGAAATTTTTATTGAGTTCAGTGAGGTATATGCTGAATTTCAGACAGGGCCAAAGGGCTCAGGTTAGAAACTTAAATATAAATCCCAGCAGGAAATCCTGCTTCTCCTCATCAGAGAGAAGCCAGAGTGTTGCAGTTGTTGGCAGCAAAGTCATAACCCAGATCTTTTACAACTCATGGGGTTTTCACATAAGAAATCTGAGAGACCATTTCGTTCAGCCTTCTTATTGGGCAGGTTTGTAGCACTCTTGTATCTCAAAATGATTTGAAGCAGTTTGCGATGCTAGATTTTTTTTTGTTGTTGTTAATCATCACCTGAGGATATTTTTCCATTGACTTTTAGAGAGAGTGGAGGGGGTTGGGGACACACACACACTGATTGGTTGTCTCCCATATGACCCCATTTGGGGCTGGGGATTGAACCTGCAACCCAGGTATGTGCCCTTGACTGGGAATCAAACCTGCGTCCCTTCGATCCGCAGGCCAACACTCTAACCACTGAACCAAACCGGCCAGGGCTGCAAAGCTAGGTTTTAAAAAATATGTATCTTTTCTTTATTGGTTTTAGAGAGAGGAAGGGAGAGAGAGAGATAAAAACATCGATGAGAGAGAACATAAATCGGCTGCCTCCTGCATGTCCCCCATTGGGGATTGGGCCCCCAACCTGGGCATGTGCCCTGACCGGTAATCAAACTGGCAACCTCCTGGTGCATGGGTCGACGCTCAAGCACTGAGCCACACCAGCCAGGCTAATGCTAGGTTTTTTAAAAAACTTTTTTCTTGGTTGGTAGAAAAATAATTTCTTAGCAGAATTTTAAGAAATTTCTGCCCAGTCGGTGTGGCTCCGTGGTTGAGCGTCGACCCATGCACCAAGAGGTCACCAGTTCGATTCCCTGTCAGGGCACATGCCCAGGTTGTGGGCCAAATCCCCAGTGGGGGGCGTGCAGGAGTTGGCCAGTTGATGTTCTCTCACATCGATGTTTCTGTCCCTCTCCCTTCCTCTCTTTCTCTCTAAAACGAATAAAGAAAAGAAATTATTTTTAAAAAAAAGAAATTTCTGATGTTTTATTGGTTACATCTGATACCTATAGGACAAAAACAGTTCAAATTCTATACCTGGTATTGATATTTAATGAGAGCTATATTAATGAATTATTTATTATAATTAGGGTTTTCTCTTGCAAAGCTTGGTGCTTGCTCCTTGGTTACAAAACTAGCAGAACAGTGACTTGTAACAATTGCTGATTACTACTATTTCTTAGCTCGTCAAGGTTGAGATAGCTACTTTTTTCTTTGGTAAACAGTCTTATTAAATGGCTGTTAATTTCTTACAATTATTTTGTGCCCTCTTGTATCTTGAAGAATTATATGGTCTGTGTTAAGTGTGAGCAGAGGTATCATTTGTTTTTCTCCTTTTATTTTGTGAAATAGCGGATTTTGGTTTTGCTCGTTATCTTCATAGTAACATGATGGCTGCAACACTGTGTGGGTCCCCAATGTACATGGTGAGTGAGTGTCTGCATTCTTGTGTTTACAGCCATAAGCATGGAATTTAAATATAATGTTTTTTTCCAAGTAGGATGTGATTTTATATAATCTGAATTGTTATTTATATCACTGACATTAAGTATATTACTGATAATGCTGTAATACAGACATCTTTTGCTTGAGCATAGTGGACTGTAAAAGTTAGTCATGTTTGCCCATTGGTTTTTATTAAAAAAAAGAGAGAGAATTAGTTATTGCCCTGGCTGGTGTGGCTCAGTTGGTTGTGCTTGGTCCTGTGCACGGAAAGGTCACTGGTTCGATTCCGGTCAGGGCACTTGCCTGAGTTGTGGACTCGATCCCAGTAGGGGGTGTGCAGGAGACAGCTGATGTTTCTCTTGCTCTTCCTCCCTCTCCGTTTCTTTCTCTCTAAAATCAATAAAAAAACCATATTTTTTTTAAAATGAAAAAAGCCCAGCTGGTGTTACTCAGTGGTTGAGCATTGACCCATGCACCAAGAAGTCGCTGTTTCGATTCCTGGTCAGGGCACGTGCCCAGTTTGTGGGCCTGATCCCCAATGGGGGACATGTCGGAGGCGGTTAATGTTCTTTCTCATTGATGTTTCTGTTTGTCTCTCCCTCTCCCTTCCTTTCTCTCTAAAATTAATTAAAACAAAAGTAAAGCCCAGCTGGTGTGGCTTAGTGAATTGAGTGTCGTCCCATGGACCAAGAGGTCCCAGTTCGATTCCCTGTCAGGTCACATGCCGGGGTTGTAGGCTTGATCCCTGGTGGGGGGCATGCAAGAGGCAGCCAATTGATGTTTCTTTCTCACATTGATGTTTCTAGCTCTTTCTCTCTCTAAAAAATAAATAAAAACACATTTATATATAGAATAAAAAATTAGTTATTGTAAAAATTTCTTACTAGGTTAAGTTGAAAATAAAAATTGATGACGTTTGCTCATGCTATATATTTTTTTTTTATCCTCATCTGAGGACATTCTTTCATTTTTTGTTCAGATAGAGTGGGAGGGAGAGAGAGGAAGAGAGAGAGAGAGAAAGAAACATCGATGTGAAAGGGACACATCGAATGGCTGCCTTCTGCATGACCCAACCAGGGCGGGGGACAAACTGCAACTGAGGCACGCACCCTTAGTGGGAACCGAACCCGGGTCTCTCTGAACTGCAGGCTGACGCTCTAACCACTGAGCCAGACTGGCCAGGGCGGTCATGCTATACTTGATGTGTAATATAGGAATACTTATAAAAACCTTTTGGGGACACGTCTTCAGCTATAGGATACATGGATTTTTTGCACGTTGTCTCTCTGGACAAGATTCCTGTATTGTAGAAGCTTCCTCATCAGTATCACACTCAGAGCCGAACACTCTTAGCTTCCTCCTTATCCTTCATGAGAACGTCGTCAGGTCTGATGGGTTAGGCTGCGACACTTCTGAACCAGTGGGAGATGTTAAGCCTAGAAATACCTTAATTCTGGACCTTCAGAATCCTGCGAAGTAAATAAAGGTACCTGTTTTACTTCTAAGTTTAAAATAGGTTTATTTTCAATTAGGATTTCATCTAATCTAAAATCAACTTTGAAATCTAGGGAACTAGCCCTGGCCAGTTTTGCTCAGCAGTTAAGAACATGGATCCTCGGACCTAAGGGTCATAGGGTTGATTCCGGTTAAGGGCATGTACCTGGGTTGCAGGTTTGATCCCCAACTCCGGTTGGGGTCTTGCAGGAGGCAGCTGGTCGATGTGTCTCTCTCACATTTATGTTTCTCTGTTTCTCTCCCCACTCCCTCCCTTCTACACTCTGTCTAAAAGTCAATGAAAAAAAAAAAAAAAGTGAAATCAAGGGAAATAGTAATCAAAGTTTAAAATTTTTTTGCATTAGATTTAACTTCTTGATCACAATTGTACTAATTCTGTACAAAATTTTTAATTCAATATAATTTAAAAATTATTTTGCGCCCTGGCCAGTTTGGCTCAGCGGTTAAAGCGTCGACCTGCGGTCCGGAGAGACCCGGGTTCGGTTTCCGCTAAGGGCACGTACTTCGGTTGCAGTTTGTCCCCGGCCCTGGTTGGTCGTGTGGGTGGCAGCCACTCGATGTGTCCCTTTACATCAAGGTTTCTCTCTCTCTCTCCCTTCCTCTCTCTCCCTCCCACTCTATCTGTACAAAAAATGGAAAAATATCCTCGGGTGAGGATAAAAAAATAAATAAATAAATAAAAAATTATTTTGCATTTCTTGAGTATGAAATCAGTTCAGCCTTGGACTAATGGCGCCAAGGCTGGAGAGCCATTAGCGGGCTGATCTTCAGAGGAAATTGACTCCATAAGAAATTTACAAGGGACAATAGAAATGTTATGCTTGGAAAATAAAATTTTGCTACCTTTAATATATTTCACACTTCTATTTCGTATTTGTCCTGCTTGATGGTATTTTTAAAAAGCAACATCTATTGAGAGGTGGGAAAATAGCTATAGCAAAGCAGCAGAGAAATGCCTTTGCTTTTAAGACAATTTTTATTATTGTGTTTTGTGGTACAGTTTTCTTGTTACTTTAAAAGCTTTCAAATGGCAGGAAAAAGAGGAATAATATAGTAAACACATTTGTGTACCTATCATCTGTATTTCACAAACATTTTGCAATGTTTGCTTTGATCTCTTATTTTATTTTGTTGTTTGTTTGTTTTGTTTTTTGTTTTGTTTTGTTTATCCTCACCTGCGGATATTTTTTCCATTGAGTTTTTAGAGAGAGTGGAAGGGAGGGAGGAGGAGAGAGAGAGCGCAAGCGAGCGAGCTATGAGAGACACTGGTTGGTTGGTTTCCTCCCATGTACTCCCCTACTGGGGCCAGGATCGAACCAGCAACCTAGGTACATGCTCTTGATCAGATATCAAACCTGAAACCCTTTGGTGCACAGGCTGACACTCTAACCACTGGACCATGCCAGCCAGGGAGATCTTTTTTCAGAAAGAAAGAAAGTAGTCCGGCTGGTGTGGCTCAGTGGTTGAGCATTGACCCATGTACCAAGAGGTTGCTGGTTCGATTCCCGGTCAGGGCATATGACCAGGTTGTGGGCCCAATCCCCAGTGGGGGACATGCAGGAAGAGGCCAATTGATGTTTCTCTCATACATGTTTCTTTCTATCTCTCTCTCTCTGACTTCTCTAAAATCAATAAAGGGACAAAAATTTAAAAAAAAGAAAAGAAAGAAATACATAAAGTATTTCAGGGGCAGTCCAAATTCCTATTGTACCTCTCCCTTTCCCACCTTCTACTCTCACAGCCTGTAATTGGTGTGTATGTTTCTTTATTATCCTCACCCAAGGATATTTTTCCATTGATTTTTAGATAGAGTGGGAGGGAGGGAGAGAGAGAGAGAAATATCTATTGGTTGCCTTCTGCATGACCTGACTGGGGTCCGGGATTGAGCCTGCAACCGAGGTATGAGTCCTTGACCTGGAATCAAACCTGCAACACTTTGGTCTGTGGCCCAACACTAATTGCTGAGCCAATCCAGCCAGGGCTCTTTATATTTTAACAAAATTGTTTTTGTTAATCCTTACCTGAGGATATTTTTCCATTGATTTTTATATAGATGGGAAGGGAGGGAGAAAGCGAGACAGACACACACACACACACAGAGAAGAGACATTGATGTGAGAGAGACACATCTATTGGTTGCCTCCTGCATAACCCCAACCAGGGCTGGGGATTGAACCTGCAACCTAGGCACGTGCCCTTGACCAGGGATCAAACCCCAGACATTGGTCCGAGGGCTGATGCTCTTAACCGCTGAGCCAAACCGGCTAGGGCTCTTTATTATTATTTTATTTGTTTATGTATTTATTTTTTCCTCACCCAAGGACATTTTTCCATTTTTTGTTCAGATAGAGTGGGAAGGAGAGAGAGAGAGAGAGAAACATGGACGTGAAAGGGATACATTGAGTGGCTGCCACCCACACGACCCACCAGGGCCGGGGACAAACTGCAACTGAGGTATGTGCCCTTAGTGGGAACCGAACCCGGGTCTTTCTGGACCGCAGACCGAGGCTCTAACCGCTGAGCCAAACCGGCCAGGGCTCTTTATTATTATTTTAATACTCTTACTGTGTTTGATAATAATACATAGAAATGCTTGTTTCTGCAACTTCTTTTCATGCAACACTGTTTTCAAGATCTACCAGTAAATATCAATGTAAGAAAGTAGTTTTGTATTCATTACAGTTTAATTTTGATTAGAGAAATATTACACCTGTTGTTTTTATTTTAGTAGTTTTGTTAGCAGTGTGGCCTTACCAGTTAATTAATGTATGCATATTAATTATGTAAATAACATAATGCATGTCTCTTGAATTTTCTTATCCCTAGGCTCCTGAAGTTATTATGTCTCAACATTATGATGCTAAGGCAGACTTGTGGAGCATAGGAACAGTAATCTATCAATGCCTTGTTGGAAAACCACCTTTTCAGGTATCCTGACTTTTTTCTTACATGCTCAGTTTTGGGATCTTCTCATTTTGCAGTTGCCTTTGACTTGTGAAATGGAGAATACTTTGAAAGCAGTGTTTTTGGTTCCTTTGTGACTTAATGTTGTTGTTTTTTTTTAACAAGGCAAAAACTGCTGTAGTGAGCCAGAACATTTTTTGCTTCTCCTTTTCCTTGTTCATCCTCACCTGAGGATATTTTTCCATTGATTTTTAGAGTGGGAGGAAGGGGCAGGGTGGAAGAGAGAGAGAGAGTGAGTGAGGACGAGGGAGAGAGAGACAGACACATTGACTGGTCGCCTCCCACAGATGCCCTGACCAGGGCTGTGGATTGAACCTGCAACCCAGGTATGTGTCCTTGACTTCGAATTGAACCCATAACCCTTTGGTGCGCTGGCTGACACTCTAACCACTGAGCAACTCCGGCCAGGGCTTGCTTTTTCTTTTTTTTTTAATCCTCACCTGAGATACTTTTCCATTTATCTTCAGACAGAGTGGGGATGGGAAGAGAAAGAGAGAGAGAAACATTGATGTGAGAGAGACACATCTATTGGTCACTTCCTGCACAACCCCAACCAGGGCCCAGGTTCCAACTACAACCGAGGTACATCCCTTGACCAGAATCGAACCCTCAACTCTTTCATCCACAGGCCTACGCTTTAACTGCTGAGCCAAACTGGCTAGGGCTGCTGTTTCTTTTTTATCTGCCTTCCCTTCACAGTTGGACTGAGCACGAAGCCTGTGATGTGTTTTCCAGGGTAGTGAGAACTAGTGCGGCTCTGGGCTCACAGCCTGGTGGGAAATGGGTGTGGCGTGATGTCAGCGCCTCCTGCTTCGCCTGGTGTTGGGGTCCTGGAACCAAAGTAAAGGCCTGGGCGGGACTGGGAGCATCACTGGAAACTGTCTCCAGATATTCATTCCTTCACTGCTGTGTCAGAGAGAGCCAGTTGTTTAGGCTTTGTGGAAATTATTGTGGGCCTGTCTCCCTTTTCTCCTTTTCTCTAATATCCTATCAAAAAGAGGCCCTCTAGAATTTAATTGTGATAATTCCTCTTGAGTTCATATTGTATAATTACATAGAGGATTTTTGAATCTGAACACTGGGTCAAAGTGAAATTATTTGCCTGAGATGGCATTTAAACAATCAGTGACAGCCGGTGGAGGAGTCATTTTCACATCTAGTTTGCACGTGCAGGCGGCTCCCTGGTCAGCAGCTCTGACTCTGACCCTGCTCCCTGTCACTGTGGAGACTGAAGGAGCGTGTGCTCAGTTCTCTGCCCGCATCCCCTGAAGGCCGCAGGGTGAAATACACTCTGATTTTACACAGTAAAGGTGTACCTGTTGGACAGGCCATGGATGTTGGGTCTTAACCTCTGAAATAGTGGTTCTAAACCTTTTCTAAGCTTCAGGTCCCTCAGAGTTTGACCTCAGTGCCCAGATCAGCAGAATTTGCTTACAGTTTCAGAGGTTTTATGAAATCCCTGGTGGCATCTATGGCTCCTTCAACAATCCATGGCCTTCAAGTTCAGAATCTGTGTTCTATAGCAAGAATGTAAGCATCAATCAAGTGATTTGGAATTTTTGCCCCTGTTATTTAATAGATTAAATCCTTTTTTTTTTTTTTAACAGGCTAATAGTCCTCAAGACTTAAGGATGTTTTATGAAAAACACAGAAGCTTAATGCCTAGGTATGTGTTTTGATTACACTGAGCTTTACTGTTTGTGAAATCAGTGTTGTTTCTTTGAACTGTTTCTGTTTTATATGTTTCCATTATTGAACCTTTTTTCAGTGACAGTAATGAGAGCACTCGTTATAACAGAAAATTAGAAAATTATGAGCATATCGTAGGTGCCTGTGTAATAGTATATCGTTCTTCTTTTTTGTTTTCAAAAGTATATTTAAAAAAAAAAAATGGCCCTGGCCAGTTTGGCTCAGCGGTTAGAGCGTCGGCCTGCGGTCCGGAGGGACCCGGGTTCGGTTCCCGCTAAGGGCACGTACTTCGGTTGCAGTTTGTCCTCAGCCCTGGTTGGTTGTGCGGGTGGCAGCCACTCGATGTGTCCCTTCACGTCGATGTTTCTCTCTCTCTCTCCTTCCTTTCTCTCCCTCCTACTCTATCTGTACAAAAAATGGAAAAATATCCTCGGGTGAGGATAAAAAAAAAAAAAAAAAAATATGGCAGTTATATGTGTTCTGTGAGAGGAAAGAGATGCAAACAGAATAGTTGTACATAAAGTAGAAAGTAAATTCCCCCTAGGCCTTCCCCCGCTCTGTAGGGGTAATTAGAGTTTGCTTTGTATCTTTTGAAATCTTCTTGTGCAAGTTCTTTTTGCACATTTGAATGCTTGTTTATGGGTGTATTTATATGCACACACCTATAGTTCAATACAAATTACTTCATAGTTTGCAAATTGTCCTGCAGCTCGTTCGATTCTACACTATATCATGGACATTGTTCAACCACTTCTGGATTCTTTCTAATGGCTGCATAGAGTTTCATAGTTTGATGTATCATATTTTGTTTAATCAGATGCTGGCTTTTATTTTCTAGTTACTACAAACGGGCTTCAGTGGGGTGGGACAGGGAGGGAAAGTATTCTCGCATTTGTGCATTTCAGTAAGGTGGACTTGTTGGACTGAGGTATGCTCTCCAAGTGTCTGTTCCTGTGCACACAGCAGAGGATGCTCCTTTCCCCACATTTTACCATGGTGGGGTGGTGTCAGACTTGATGCCTGGTGGTCTCAGACTTGATGCCTTGCAAATAGGGAGGACACACTAGCTATTAATGTAATTTGCCTTATTCTCTTTACTGGTGAGGTTGGTTCTTCTTAGTTGTTTAATGACCTTTTTGTAGTTTTCATTCTGTGAATTTTATATTCCTATTACTTACTCATTTTTCTACTGCCTTGCCTTTTTCTTACTGGATTTCAGGAAGCTATATTATTCTTCACTTGTATTTATTTGAGCTCTGCCCCATTTCAGACAGAATTGGAAGTGGCCCTTTTCCTAGGAGAGAACTCTACAGCACCTGTTAGTGCCAGGTAGAAGTTGTGCTGACCTCCAGACCTGTGCTCGTGGAGCGCTTTGTTCACGGAGACTGCAGCACACCAGGGCAGTGCGCACTGCGGAGCCCTCCCGAACGGGGCTGGGCTCAAAGGCCCTTGCTTCCTGTGTCTGTTTTCCTTTAAGGAATGAGGTTGTACTGTGATTTTCTTGGTATGGAATGTAGTATTTGTGAAACTGCATATACATTTTTGTTTACCACAATTTAAGGCAAAAGTCATGTAGTTAATATAGTATATAAACTCACCATTTAGGTTATTTTTTTTCTTTCCCTCAGCATCCCCAGAGAAACATCACCTTATTTGGCGAATCTCCTTTTGGGTTTGCTTCAGAAAAACCAAAAAGATAGAATGGACTTTGGTAAGTAGTCTTTTCAGATTTCCCATGCTTTCTAATTTTATTGCTGTGTATTCTGAGGAGATTTTTAAAAAAAAGATACTACAGAGGTTTCAGAAGAAAATTAAAGTCAATTTTTCAGTATCTCTGTCTTTTTCTTTTACTTGCTTTGTAAATATTGAGTACCTGCTAGGTTCTAGTGTGGGGGATAAAGTAATAAGCAAAATCCCTGTCCTTCTGATGTATATATTCTAGTGGAGGAGAGACACAGACAAATTATAAGCTCTAATTATATGCTATATTAGAAAACAGTAAGTACTGTGGAAAAATAAAGAAGGAAGAAAAATGAGGGTGGGTGGGGATTCAAATTTTAAATAAGGTGTCAGTGAAGACCTGTCTGAGAAAGTGGCATTGGAACAAAGGCCGATTGACATGTGTGAGACAGTGAGCCATGTGGGTGTCCGAGCGCTTTTCAGGCAGTGTGAATAGCCAGGACCAGTGCCCGGAGCTGGAACACGTCATGTAAAGACTTGGGATTTCGCCCAAGGTCTGTTGGGAAGCCATTGCAGGGTTTGGAGCAGAGGATCGATTTGAGCTGATGAATGTTTTGAAAAGGATCAGTCTGGTTGCTTGGTGAGCACAGCCTGTGGTGAGGGGCATGAGGCAGGGGAGGAAGGTGGGAGACTAAATCGGGAGACCACATAGTCACCCATGTGAGAAAGGAAGTAGTTTAGATGGGGGCAGAAGCAGTGGAGGTGGGAAGAAATTGTTGACTTTGGGTCTTTTTGGAGGTAGAGACAACTGCATTTCTGGATGAATGGGATATGGGTTGTGAGAGAAAGAGGAGACTCAAAGATGACTCCCAAGATTTTTAGCTGGAACACCTGAAAGGGTGGGGTTGTCAGTCAGAGGATGGGAAAGACTATGTGAATAGAGCAGGCCTTGGGGGCGAGATCAGGAGTGCAGGTAGGACATGTTCAATTTAAGATGGCCATTTGATGTCTAAGTGCAGATGTCAAGAGGCTCCTGCATATTAGAGGAGAGGTCGAGGCTGGGGAGATGTTTGGGGAGGGATCTAGGAAGAATGGAGGAGAAATACCCCAGAATCCTGACTTCAAAGAAGGGTTTAGGAAGCCAAGGAGGGGGCACCTCCTCGTAGGGTGACCCTTGTGAACATGTGCTCTGTGGAGCTTGGTCTCAGCACTGTGTGACAAGAGTGGGCTATGGATGCTTCTGATTTTTAGAATTTTAGATTCTTAAGGTGGAAGCTCATGATACTGATTTTGAACCTTTCTTTTATAATGTAAGCACTAAAGTCAACAATTTCTCTCTTAGTACTTTAATTTATCACAGGTGTCTTCATATACTCTTTTATTTTGTTTACTTATTTATTTATTTTCCTCACCCGAGGACATTTTTGCATTTATCTTCAGATAGAGTGGGAGAGAGAGAGGAAGAAAGAGAGAGAGAGAGAGAGAGAGAATCATCGATGTGAGAGAGACACATCGACTGGTTGCCACCCACACAACGCCAACTGGGGCCGGGGACAAACCGCAACTGAGTTACGTGCCCTTAGCAGAAACCGAACCCGGGTCTGTCTGGTCCGCGGGCCAACACTCTAACCGCTGAGCCAAACCAGCCAGGGCTCATATACTATTTTACCACTTCATGTGTAACGAAAGAACTTAGAATGCTTAGTATTGTAGGGATTATGTAGGTTTTGAAAGAACATTTATCCTGGAAAGTGTTTGAGTCTAGCTCCTCTCTCGGGGATAGTTTGTTAACTTGATCTTACCAATCTTACGTGTCAGAATCACAAACCAGAAAAACCATAAAACGTGGTTATCAAATTAACTCTGATCTTCAAATTTTTAGGAAAAAACATGTTTGATATTTTGTTCTGTAGTAATAATTATAATAATAGAAATTTACAAAAATTTATTCCAGAATTTTAGTCTGTTAATGTATGTTATGGAAACCCACATAAGCTTCTGGATAAGACAGACTAGGGTTTAATTCTTCCCCAAACTTACCAGCTTATTGACACTGGAGAAGATACACGGCCTTTATGTGCTATGATTTTCTTATCATGAAACGAAGATAATACCTTGCATAAAATTTGTGAGAATTCAGTGAGGACCAGGTATGAAGCACTCAGTTCATTGTCCTTGTAAATGTTCTCAGTAGATGATAGCCCTAATAGTTTCTGTATAAGGGAAAGATGAAATAGTCTGAATACGTATATATTTTTCTTAAAGTTTTATTAAATTGGAATTAAACTTCATTTGTTGGTAAATACTTTTATCTTTGAGGGAGAAATTGAGAGTTGCTCTATAACCATGAGAACCATGGGTCAATAAAATAACTTGCTCATGGATAACAGTTTTAAATTATAAATTATATTAAATATTTACATGCTTTTTGTGACATAACAATTGATTTGGAAAATGGTATCAGAGTGTTTGCATTCACTCTGTCTAGTTTCTTCATTTATATCTTTACTTTTCATCCCTATTATGTCCTTTGTAAAAGCATAAAAATCCTTACATGTCAAACTAGAATTTATGTGTATGTGTATATTTTTGTTCTAAAGAGAACTAACAAGGACAACTCATATTTCTCTTCAAAACCCCCTACATTTCCATTTCTCAGCAAGTGTTGTGATTGACATTTACTTTGAGGGGCTTTGGATTTTGATTTCAGTGAAACTCATGGAAACCTTCAGAGTGGAAGATAGTTTAGTCGAAACCCAAGTGAGGCTTATTACTGACCTTGTGGTACCTAATAAGCCTCCATGTGGGTGATGGGCTCTTCTCCTTGGCTGCCCTGTGATACTTAATATCATACAGGTCAGAGACTTAATGATATAGGAGGTTATCTTGGTGGGTTTTTAAAATCCTTACCTGAGGATATGTTTTTATTGATATTTAGAGAGATAGGAAGGGGAGGGAGGGGAAGAGAGAGAGAGAGAGAGAGAGAGAGAGAGAGAGAGAAACAAACAAACATGAATTGGTGACCTTCCGTATGTGCCCTGACTGGGGATTGAACCCAAAACCTAGGTATGTGCCCTGACTGGAGTCCAACCCTCAACCTTTTGGTGTACTGGTGTGTTAATGGGACGGGATGGGACGGGACAATGCTTCAACCAGCTGAGCCAACGAACAGGGCAATCTTTGTGGGTTTTTAAAGAAACAGTGAAATAATTTACATATACAGGAAAATAGAATAAAATAATGAACTGTCATGTACTCATCTACTTACTATCTTTATCTAATTATCAGACTTTTTGTGTAGCTTTTATTCTTGGTGAATAGTGAGGAAATTAAATTAATAGTTTTTTAAAATAGTATTTTGAAACCAGCTGCAGTACTACTTCTGGGATAGAAGGATAGAATTTATTGAACATATCAGTACCTAGATTTTGTCTTGGAACAATGAATAGCCATCCTTCAAAATATGCCTAGGAGAGGGGCCTGGTCACAGTGCAATGCTCCTTGGGTGGTCTGCTTTCAAGGCCCCACGCTTCAGAGGACACGTCGGTTCAGTTGCCTCAGGATGTGCCACGTTGGTAATGGACATTTTAAAAATTCAATTATTATTTAAAATTTTTCATTGATTAAAAATTACTTGTAATTTGATAATTTTTATTTATAAAAATAATATGCTTTTATACTTAAAGGAAATGTAGGCAACATAAATGAGTTAACAATTTACAGTCTCAAGGACATAAAGACATCATGTTTATGCATTGACAAGTCAACCTTTTTGCTGGTCAGTGTCAGTGTAAATGTTGCATTCTCATTTTTCATTACAGAAGCATTTTTTAACCATCCTTTTCTTGAGCAAGTTCCAGTAAAAAAATGTGAGTACCCGCTGTTTGCATTTTTACTGAAGAGTGAATGCAAGCTTAAGGAAAAATTAGTACTTTGTGTTACAAAATTAATTTTTTACTGTGTTTCTCAAAATTTCATTGACCTTCTTCTTTTAAATACCTGGAGTTCTGTTTATCTTATTTATTTATTTATTTTTAATGTTTTTTAATTGATTTTTTGAGAGAGAGAGAGGAAGGGAGAGAGAGATAGAAACATCAATGTTAGACAGATACATCAATGGGCTGCTTCCTGCATGCCCCCCACTGGGGATTGAGCCCACAACCTGACCATGTGTCCTGACCAGAAATTGAACTGGGACCTGTCAGTCCATGGGATGACGCTCAATCCACTGAGCCACACTGGCTGAGCTGGAGTTGTGTTTATTTATTTATTTTTTAATCCTCACTCAAGGATATTTTTCCATTGCTTTAGATGGAGGGGAAGGGGGGGGAGGTGGCGAGAGAGAGAAATACCAATGTGAGAGAGACACATGGATTGGTTGCCTCCTGCACGACCACCACTGGGTAGTGGGGATCAAACCTGCAACCCAGGTACGTGCCCCTGACCAGGAATTGAACCCGTGACCATCTTGTCCTCAGGCTGACGCTCTAACTGCTGAGCCAAACCAGCCAGGGCTAGAGTTGTGTTTATTTAATAACAGTTCTGTGTTTTCCTTCCAAATCCAAGCTGAAATCGTTTTAGTAATTGCTGCATTTATAAGTAGGTGAACGTGAATTTTTGGTCAACACAAACGTAGTAGTTTTGACAGCTTTTTCTATTAGACAAGGCATGTAATTGAGTGGTGCTGCTGTTCTTCTGTGTTCTCCTGCAGCCTGCCCTGTGCCCGTACCCGTGCGTGCTGGCTATGTTTCTGGAAGCTCCTGTGGCAGCTCTCCGCCTCGTCGTTTTGCCTCTCCACCAGTAAGTTCTGGTTTTATTAAAACTACTTTTCAGAGTTAGTGCGGTTATATCTGTTCACAAGTGGAGCCTGTAATAGAGTGTGGATATTCTTTTCATATGAAGTCTTTGCTAGTGCAGCGGAGGCTGAGGTCGCATGGACCTGGATTTTGACCTCTGCCCTTATTTAGCTGTGTGCAAGCTCCAGCAAGAAATTTTACCTGTCTAGGCTGTGTTCCTCTGAACAGTGAGTAAGCTACTCTCACCATTTCATGCCTGTGGGGTTGGGAAGGATACTTGCAAACAAAGACCACTTCTTAACTTAAATAAAGGTGGATAAGTAATTATCACATGTTTATTTTATCTGAATGGCATAAACAATTTGGATGTTTATTATGAATAGAATTCCCAGTGGTGGAAGAGTGACCCTTGAGGTATATTTCACTAACTTAGATTTCCTTGACTGTGATTGCTGGCCCCGTGAGGTTGTCCCACCCCAGCCTCTTCCTTCTGCTGAAGTTCCCAAGCCATTTCCTCTGTGGCTATCTTCCTTCCAGTCTAAGTGCTCTGTCACTTCTGGTCGGGCTCCTCCTCCACTCCCCCAGGGTCTTACCCTCTCCTGTATTTTCCTAGTGGACCCTTCCCCCAGATTTCTTTTGCAGCCTGGGAGGGTTGTGCCTTGAGGTTTCTCTGTAAGCTGAAGGTCCAAGGGCTCTTGTGTCAGCTTCTGTGTGTTCCAGACTAGCCTGGCAGCATGGTTTTCCTCAACTCCGCTGGCAGAGGGTGGGGGAGCCATCAGAGGGGTGATTGTATGATCAGATGGTTGAGGCTCCGCAGAGGTTTCAAAGTACTGGGCTTGGAAGCTTCCACAACCCTTACTTGCCCTATTAACTAGGCCAAGTGACTTAATCTCTCTGAACCAGTTTCTCATATGTAAAGTGAATGTAATTTACCTACTTCACTGGGCTTTAAAAGGATAAATGAGCAAAAGCATTTACCACAGTGCTGGGCATACAATGATACTTAAGAAGTGGCAGCTGCTATTATTATTTTCCAGGAAAACCTAACAGCCCTCACCCAACACGGATACTAATCAGCCTGTTGCAGAGAGATGAGTCTTCAAACTGGCAAAATACCTGTTCACACAGCCCTGAAGAACTCACGCTAAATAGAAACAGCAGATGTGCTGCCCAGCAGGCATAGCTCAGTGGATAGAGTAGTCCAGTTCCTCCCATGGACTGAGAGGTCCTGGTTCGATTCCCAGTCAGGGCACATGCGGTGTGTGTGTGGGGGGGGTGCTGAATCCCCAGTAGGGGGCATGCAAAAGGCAGCCCACTGATCGATGTTTCTCTCACATGGATGTTCCTATCTCTCTCTCTCTAAAAAATTAATAAATACATATTTAAAAAAAAAAAAAAAAAAGAAAAGGCAGCCCTAGCTGGTTTGGCTCAGCGGTTAGAGCGGCAGCCTTTGTTCTAGAAGGACCTGGGTTCTGTTACTGCTAAGGGCGCGTACCTCTGTTGCACTTTGTCCCCGGCCCTGGTTGGGTCATGCGGGAGGCAGCCACTTGATGTGTCCCGCCCGTTCACAGTGTGTCCCGTTCACGTCGATGTCTCTCTCTCTCTCCTTCCCACTCTCTCTGAACAAAAAGTGAAAAAATGTCCTCGGGTGAGGATAGAAAAGAAAAAAATTTAAAAGAAAGAAAAAGCCGATGGGGCTAATGAGACTTACATTACATTCCCATGAGTTAAAACACTAAAAGCACTGGATGTGGGGTGATCGGGACACGTGGAGGGCGTGTGAGGGCGTGGGGAGGCTGTAGACCGTGCTTGGAGCTGGGCAGAGTGGCTTCAGTGCCGGCCTGCTGCTCGCTCACTCTGAATCTGGCCAAGTCAGCTCCAGGGCTGAGCCATGGCTTCCGTGACCGCAAGGTGGGCCTAATGGACCTGGGTGTAAAGGACTATGTGTGACGCGGTGCCTAGCCATAGTGAGTACTTACATTGTAGCTATTATTATGATGTCTCTATTTGATATGTAATATGGAAAGCAAAGCTTATGCTAGAAAAAGGAAAGCAAGAAGACTTCGGGGCAGCAGGAATAAAGGAACCTGGGATGGTAGAATAAGCAAGGGATGAGAGAAGGGCCAGGAGGAAGGGCATTGAGCTGGAAATTGCATTGACTGGCGAGAGCATGTTGGCGGTTTGTGTTGGTGGGAGCAGGGAAAAGGAGAGCAAGAGGAGCTAGGCTTGGGCTGCGGGGAGAGGCAGGGAGTGCTGACAGGAGGGGAGAGCAGAGAGCTCTGCAGAGAGGACCTGGGCGGAGAGGAGGCCCATTGAGATGCTGCAGATGCTGGTGGGAAACCATTTTTAGAAGGCCTTTATTAAAAGCTCATGTTTAAAGTGAAAATAAAAAGGAAAGCTGGGGAATAAATGGAAAGCAGGGACATTTCTGTATAATTTCCAGTTAGTGAGATTAGAAAGTGGGAGATTTGATTGTTTTTTAACATAATCTGCCAAAAGTAAGATGATTTCATGCACACAGTCTCTTCCTTCCTAGGTCTGGAGAGACCCTTACTAAGGGTTAATACATACAAGTGTGCACATTTTTTTTTTTTGTACTTTCACACAAATACCCATTTGCATATTTTTCCAGAGAAATAGTTGAAATCCAAAAACAAATAAACAAATGAACAAACCTTAACCGTAAATCCAAATCACTCTTTTAGTTATGATACCAACTATACATTAAGTGCTATTTAGATAATATCTCTTTAATGTCTATTTATTGGTTTCATGTCATTTATTAAATGCCTGCTTTGTGTGAGGTTCTGTTTGATACTAATGGTATGACCAGGTCCCTTCGAGTAAGGAGTTTTCATTTAGGAGAGGCTGTTTAATCCATCACTGTTAGAAGCCTGCATGTGTGTGTCTTTGTTGCCTGTGGGAATGTGATGAGGGGCCTGAAATCAGACCAAGAACTAAGGGAGGCTGCTCAGAAGAGGGCGTTGAGCTGAGGTTTGAAGAAAGAGTTAGTCAGGTGAATGAGTAAAAGGATAGTATTGTAGGCAGAGGAGGCTTCATTCATGATGTCACAGGAGCATGGCCCACTGAAGGAATTCTGTAGCCCTCCATGGGCCCTTAAATTAAAAATTGTTTGAACTGCCCGGCTGGTGTGGCTCAGTGGTGGAGCATCGACCTATGTACCAAAGAGGTCGCTGGTTTGATTCCAGGTCAGGGCACATGCCCAGGTTGTGGGCCTGATCCCCAGTGGGGGCCATGCAGGAGATGGCCAATCAATGTTCTCTCTCATTGATGATTCTATCTCTCCTTCTAACATCAATAAAGAAAAATAAATAAATAAAATTGTTTGAACTAAGTGAAATTTAAAGTTTAGTTTCGTAGTCACACTGGCCACATTTCAAGTGCTCAATAGTCAGATATAGCTAGTGGCTACCATACTGGACAGCTTAGCTACAGAACTTTCCCGTCATTGCAGGAAGTTCTGTTGGATCCAGCTTCTCTAAGCAGTTCAGTCTGGTGGATGTAAAAAGCGTTGGTGAGGGGAAAATAAAGTTAAAATGGTGAGGAGAAGCTATATCTTGAAAGAATTTGAGCATTGCTTGGCTGTGGCTCAGTGGTTGAGCATCGATCCATGCACCAAGAGGTCACCGGTTTGATTTCCAGTGAGGGTACAAGCCCAGGTTGTGGGCCAGATCCCCAGTGGGGGGCGTGCAGGAGGCAGCCAGTCCATGTTCTCTCTCATCGATGTTTATATCTCTCTCTCCCTCTCCTTCTTCTCTCTCTAAAAATAATGACAAAAAATTTTTAAAAAAAGAAGGAAAGAATTTGAGCATTGAACAAAGTAGTTCAGATTTTATCCTTAAAGCTCTGTTGAGTTATTTGAATGATTTTAAGTGGCGGTGTGATATGATCCTCTGTGTGTTTTAGCTAGATATTTCTAATGCTGGGCGGAGGACCAGACTGGAGACAAGGAGAGAGTTCTCTCCACTAGAGGAAAGAGAACAACCTGAGACTATTGTAGCCTTTTTTTTTTTTTTTAGTGAGGACCTGAACTCAGGCAGCAGTAGGAAAAGGAGAAGGGGATAGGAAGCAGGTGAGAGAAAGGTAGCGAGTTTACAGAGCTTGGAGATTGCTTGAATTTGGGACTTAAGGAAGAGGGAGACCTAAAGGCAATGAATGGATGGATGATGGTGAAGGCACTCAGTAATGATGTACGGGGAGGAATGCATGGGGGTATAAAAGTGCTGAGTTAGCATTGTACAGGCAAGTGACAGAGTGGCTAGAGCTCATCGGAGAGAATCTGGTCTGCTGAGTCATTGTTATATAAGTGGTAGTTAAAGGTAGGGTGAGAATGGTCACTGGGGTGAGGATAACACATGCGAGGGGTAGAGGACTAGGATGGTGTTTTGGGGGAATTCTGTACTCCTGTCTTTTAGGGGGCAAATAAGCAAGCACCCACAAAAGAGAAGCAGGAAAAGCAAGAGAGAGCAGGGTCACTGAGTGAAGGGGTAGAGTTTCGAAAAAAGAATGGTCCACAGTTTAGTTGCAGCAGAGAATTCAAGGAACAAGTAGAGGAAGTGGCCACAGGACTTGGTGCTGGCAGTTAACTGGTAAGCTAAAGAAAGGCAATTGTTTTTGGAGCATTGAAGGCAGAAACTGGATTATGGTTGGTTAAGGAGTACATGGGAAATGAGGAGTTGGAGTCAGTGAAGATTGAGAATTTCAAGAACTGTTGTTAAGAGAAGATGGTAATTGAGCAGGTTGCAGGGTTTTGAAACATGTTTATGTGCAGAGGGGGAAAAGCCAAATTCAGGGGAGAGGCTGAAAGTGTCAGGAGCAAAGGGAGGTTGACCTAGGTCCTGGAAAAGGTGGGGGAGAAAGGAACTGGAACACAGATGGTGGAGAGATTAGCTTTGAATGCAGGGAGCAGCATCTCTTTCATGAAGATGGTTATGGATACAGATAATTTTATAAATAGCAGAGGAAGAAACTCAGAAGGTTCCTACCGAAACCACTGGAAAGAAGTTGTGGACACACTTGGAATCACATCTCAATGTGACTGCTTTTTAGTTGTGTGATTTCGGGCAGATCCTGATCTTCTGAGTTTTGTTTATTTAAAAATGAAATGGGGGCCCTGGCTGGTTTGACTCAGTGGTTAGAGCGTTGGCCTGCAGTCCGGAGAGACCTAGGTTTGGTTCTCACTAACGGCATGTACCTCGGTTGCAGTTTGTCCCCAGCCCAGGTTGGGTCGTGCGGGTGGCAGCCACTCGATGTGTCCCTTTCACGTTGATGTTTCTCTCTCTCTCTCCCTCCCACTCTATCTGAACAAAAAAATGGAAAAATGTCCTCGGGTGAGGATTAAAAAAAGTAAATAAATAAAAACGATAAAAAAATGAAATGGGAAAAAAAAATCTGTAACAAAAATAAATTAAATTTAAAAAATGAAATGGATTTTATAATGGAACTGGAGTTAGGTAATACATGGAAAACTCTTAGCAGTGCCTAACCCGTGGCTGATGTTTAGTCACGTTAGTCCCTTCATCTTCCTTCCTTGAGACATAGTTCTGTTCAGAAGTAGTAAGATTTTATGTCATGTATATCACACACACACACACACACACACACACACACACACAGAGAGAGAGAGAGAGAGAGAGAGAGAGAGAGAAGTGATAGAGATTTGAGACTTAATTTATTGCATAGCAACATGCAAAGAAGCACCAGCAATGAATTGGGTGTTTAAGATTTGAATTGAAAGAGCATTATGTAGCCCTGGCTGGTTTGGCTCAGCGGTTAGAGCGTCGGCCTGCAGTCCTGAGAGACCCGGGTTCGGTTCCCGCTAAGGGCATGTACCTCGGTTGCAGTTTGTCCCCGGCTCTGGTCAGTAGTGAGGGTGGCAGCCACTCGATGTGTTTCTTTCACATCGATGTTTCTCTCTCTCTCTCCCTCCCACTCTACATGAACAAAAAATGGAAAAATGTCCTCGGGTGAGGATTAAAAAAAAAAGAAAGAGCATTATGTAGTATTTTTTCTTTTCTTAAATAGAAACAAGGGTTAAACTTAATGGGGACTTAATATATAAGTTATGAAGTTCATTATTTTAGAAAACCATTGTATAATCAAGACATTCAGTTACAGTTGTCACTAGAGACCTTGAACTAGGCAAGTGCCAAAAGGTAAAGAGCTACTTACACTTGAGTTTTTGTTTGAATATATTTGTTTTGTTTTTTTTTTCCCTCACCCAAGGATATTTTTCCATTTTTTGTACAGATAGAGTGGGAGGGAGAGAGAGAGAGAAACATCGACGTGAAGGGACACATCGAGTGGCTGCCACCCGCATGACCAACCAGGGCTGGGGACAAACTGCAACTGAAGCACGTGCCCTTAGCGGGAACTGAACCCAGGTCTCTCCGGACCGCAGGCCGACGCTCTAACCGCTGAGCCAAACTGGCCAGGGCTGAATATATTTGTTTTTCTTCCCTTGCTGTTCCATTTCCCACAAACCAACTCCTCCCCCCTAACAAAAGAAATACATTCACTCTTTTAAGGTTTTCCAAATCTTTCTTTTTGTGAGTGTAAATAAATCTCTAGGCTTAATTGCAGTTATCCTTATTGATTTGTTTACTTTTTTTTACATAATATGGCCTCTTGCTTTCCTGTTTAGAATGTTTTCTTCATTGGAGAGTAAAACTGTGTGTGCTTGCAAGATGTTGAAATCCCTGGACATTTTGTTTTCATGATTAAGTTAACAGTTATTGAGTATCTGCTTAGTTAGGCCATGAGCTGAAACAGATTGTTGGGATGGTACACACCTCAACAATTTTAGGAGAGGCATACAAGTATGTGTGATAAGTGGCATGATATATTTCCAAGTATCACTTTTGGAAAACATTTAAGAAGTCTTTATGCAAAGGGATTTGAAACTGTGCCTTTTCTAAGGGAAAGGTTTCCAAAGAGAATTTTTGAAATTTTAGATGGAATTGAACTTTATGCCTACTTTTGTGAAAAAAATATTCTTTAGTGTAATGGCTGTTCTGACTTGCACTTAATTATTAGGCCAGTTTTAATTTTATGTTGTTAATTTTAGTCCCTTTCAGATATGCAGCATATTCAGGAAGAAAACTTATCCTCCCCACCATTGGGTCCTCCCAACTATCTACAAGTGTCCAAAGATTCTGCCAGTACTAGTAGCAAGAACTCTTCTTGTGACACGGATGACTTTGTTTTGGTTCCACACAACATCTCGTCAGACCACTCATGTGAGAATCTTTTCTATTTGTACACATTCTGCTTCTTAATTTATTAGACTAGTGCTTTTTTTTTTAACCTTTATATCATGTTCTCATTTTATTTAGTTGTTTGAATCCCCAATATTACTTACCTACCTTTCTAAAATCTGCTTAATCATCTTCCATAAAACAATACTTTGGATTCTGAAGGTACATGAAAACTTTATAGGAAATTATCTCAAATTTTGTTTGTATCTAAAGAAATAGAGAAGCCAACATAATAAGATAAATTAAATTAAATGTAAAGAAAGGAATTAAAGGAAAACCTCTTTTGGAAAAAACTTAAGAGTCAAAGGAGTCTTAAAACAACCTGGGTGCCCTTCAGAAAATAATGACGTAAATTCAGGAACAAACTTCATAGATATCTAGGAAGAATTTATTTTATTTTTATTTTCCTTATATATTTTTTCTATTTCTTTTAGTTGTTTTAGGAAGAATTTTTATAAAAGAAAGATGAATCCGCCCGGCCAGTGTGGCTCAGGTTGAGCATCAACCCATGCACCAAGAGGTTGCCAGTTCGATTCCTGGTCAGGGCACATACCAGGTTGTGGGCCTGATCCCCAGTGAGGGGTATGCAAGAGGCAGCCAGTCGATGTTCTCTATCATTGATGTTTCTCTCTCTCCTCCCTTCCTCTCTCTCTCCAGTCAATAAAGAAAAAAAAATTTTTTTAATTAAAAAAAAAAAAGATGAATACAACTTGACTGTATACAGGGTGGGGCAAAAGTAGGTTTGTATTTGTGAGTACGCGAAACAGTTTATTTTGGTATTATTATGAATTATTGTGTTTTCCATATGAACAACTGTAAACCTACTTTTGCCCTACCCTGTAATGATAAAATCATATTTACATAAATATAAATTCTCATAAATATAACAGTTCTTAACATGTATGCCCCTAACAACGGAGTCAAACCATTAAGGCAAAAACTGAGCCCTGGCCGGTTTGGCTCAGCGGTTAGTGCATCGGCCTGTGGTCCATAGAGACCCGGGTTCGGTTTCTGCTAAGGGCACGTACCTCAGTTGCAGTTTGTCCCCAGCCCTGGTTAGTCATGGCAACCACTCGATGTATCTCTCTCACATCGATGTTTCTCTCTTTCTCTCTCCCTCCCACTCTATCTGAACAAAAAAATGGAAAAATGTCCTTAGGTGAGGATAAAAAAAGGCAACAACTGATAGAAGTACAAAGACACATAGATGAATCCACTGTTATAGTTGGAGACTTTAACAACCCTCCCTCGGAAATGGACAGATCCAGCAGACAGAAAATCAGTAAGGACATAGTTGAACTCAGTAACACCATCAATCACCTAGATATACAGATGTGGGCAAAAGTAGATTTACAGTTGTAATACAAAATTAATATGATAATACAAAAATAAATTCTGTGTTTTGTATACTCACAACTGTAAACTGCTTTTGTTTTTTTTTTTTTTTTTTTTTTTTTTTTTTTAATCCTCATCCGAGGATATTTTTCCATTTTTTTGTACAGATAGAGTGGGAGGGAGAGAGAGGAAGGGAGAGAGAGAGAGAAACATCGACGTGAAGGGACACATCGAGTGGCTGCCACCCGCACGACCAACCAGGGCCGGGGACAAACTGCAACCGAAGTACGTGCCCTTAGCGGGAACCGAACCCGGGTCTCTCCGGACCGCAGGCCGACGCTCTAACCGCTGAGCCAAACCGGCCAGGGCTGTAAACTGCTTTTGCTCGTCCCTGTATGTAATGCTGTTCTTTATCTCTGATAACTTTTCTTACTTTGTAGTCTGCTCTAAAATTAATACAGCTACTCCTGCTTTCTTTTGATTAGTGTTAGCATGATTTATTTCTTCAATCTACTTACTTTTTAAAAAAAATAATAGTTTATTGATTTTTTAGAGAGAGAGGGAAACATTGATGTGAGAGCACAACATCAATTGGTTGCCTCCTGCACCCCCCCTACCTGGAGCCCACAACCTGGGCATGTGCCCTGACTGAGGATCGAACTGGCAACTCTTCACTGTACAGGGTGACATTCAATCAACTGAGCCACACTGGTCAGGGCCATCAATTTACTTTTAATCTATATGTGTCTTTATGTTTTAACATGAGTTTCTTATAGACAACCTATAGTTGGGTCCCATGTTTTGATCTTCTCTGAAGTTTCTCTTAATTGGTATGTTTAGACCATTGATGTTGAAAGTAATTAGTCCTGGCTGGTTTCGCTCAGTGGTTAGAGCATCAGACCGCAGACCGAGTCTTGGGTTCAGTTATGGTCAAGGGCACGTACCTGGGTTGCGGTTCGTCCCCAGCCCTGGTTGGGTCATGCAGGAGGCAACCAGTTGATGTGGCTCTGTCACATCGATGTTTCTGTCTTTCTCTCTCTCTCCCTCCCTCCCACTCTGTCTGATAATTAGTAGAAAAATATCCTTGGGTAAGGAATAAAAAAAAAGTAATTATTGATAAATTAACATATACCATATTTGTTACTTTTTCTATTTGTTGTCCTTGTTCTTTGTTTCAGTTATTGTCTTCCACTCTTCTTTTTGCATTTTGTTTTTCCAGTTGAGTATTTATTGTGATTTCATTTTCTTTCTGTTCTTAGCATACCAATGATACTTTTATTTTTCAAATCCCCACCTGAGGTTAATTTTCCATTTATTTTCAGATAGAGTGGGAGAGAGAGAGAGAGAGAGAGAGAGAGAGAGAGAGAAATATCCATGTGAGAGAGACAAATTGACAGGTTGCCTCCCGCACGAGCTGGACCAGGGCCGAGGACCGAAATGCAACCGAGGTGTGTGCCCTTGACCAGAATTGAACCCACAACTCTTTGGTCCATGGGCTGACGCTCTAACCCCTGAGCCAGACCAGCCAGGGTGCATCCCAATGATAGTTTTTTAAACTTTTTTTAGTGGTTGCCCTAGAGTTTGTAATATTCCTTTATAAATAATCCAAGTCCACTTTCAAATAACACTATATCACTTTATGGGTAATGTGAAGTCACCTTATAATAACAAAACAATCATCATTTTTTTCTCCTGTACCTTGTATTATTGCCCTTTGTATAAGCATTTGTAATGTACAAATAAAATACATACAAGCATACATAACTGAATACATTGTTGCTATTATTATTTTGAGCAAATTATTACCTGTTAGATCATTTAAGAATAAGAAAAATGGCCCTGGCTGGTTTGGCTCAGCGGTTAGTGTGTCAGCCTATGGACCGAAGGGTCGCAGGTTCTGGTCAAGGGCACGTGCCTGGGTTACAGGTTTGATCCCCTGCCCCAGTTTGGGTTGTGTGGGAGGTGACCCATCGATGTCTCACTCTCCCTCCCCCCTCACCCCCCTCCTCCCTCCCTCCTCTCCCTCCCTCTCTCTAAAAATTAGTGGAAAAATATCCTTGGGTAAGGATTAATAAAAAAGTAAGAAACAAAGTTTTTATTTTACCTTCATTTATTCCTTCTTTGGTGCTCTTCTTTTCTTTATGTAGACCCAATTTTCTGACATACTATTTTCCTTGTCTCTAAAGAATTTTTAACATTTTTTGCAAGACAGATCCAGTGGCAAAAAATTTCCTCAGTTTTTATTTGAGAAAGTTTTTTTCTTCACTTTTGAAGGATAATTTTGCAGGGTACAGAATTTTAAGTTGGTGGTTTATTTCTTTCAACACTTTTAATATTTCACCTCAGTCTCTTCTTTTTTCTTAATTAATTTTTGTTACAGATGTTTCTCCTTTTTCCCTGCAGACACCCTCCTCCCTATTGCCTCCCCCCAACATTGTTGTCTATGTCCATTGGTTACACATACATGCATATAAGTTTTTTGGTTTATCAATCCCTCCCCCCATCCCCCTCCTCTGAGGTTTATCAGACTGAACCATACTTCTTTCTCTGTCTCTGGGTCTTTTTTGTCCATCTGCTTTTTTTTGTTCATTGTATTCCACAAATAAGTGAGATCATGTGGTATTAGTTTTTCTCTGATTGGCTTATTTTGCTTAGCCTAATACTCCTCAGATCCCTCCATGTCATCTCAAATGATAAGAGATCTTTCTTTTTTATAGCTTTATAGTGTTCCATTGTGTGTATGTACCACAGCTTTTTTATCCAGTCATCTGTTGATAGACACTTGGACTGTTCCCAGTCTTAGCTATTGTAAATAGTATTGCTATGAACATAGGGATACATATATTCTTTCTGATTGGTGTTTCAGGCTTCTTAGGGTATATTCCTAGAATATAATGGGATCACTGGGTCAAATGGCAGTTCAATTTTTAATTTTTTGAGGAAACACCATATTGTTTCCCATAGTGGCTGTACCAGTCTGCATTCCCACCAGCAGTGTACTAGAGTCCCCTTTCTCCACACCCTCGCCAACACTTGTTATTTGATGATTTGTTGATGGTGGCCATTCTGGCAGGTGTGAGGTGATACCTCATAGTCGTTTTAATTTGCATCTCTCTGATGATTAGTGATGTTGAGCATTTTTTCATGTCTCTTGGCCATTTGTATGTCCTGTTTAGAGAGGTGTCTATTTAGGTCCTCTGCTCATTTTTTAATTGGGTTCTTTGTCTTCCTTTTGTGGAGTTATATGAATACTCTATATATTTTGGAAATTAACCCCTTATCTGATGTATCATTGGCCTTTCCATTTTGATACTTGTTTCTTTTGCTTTGCAGAATCTTTTTAGTTTGATGTCATCACATGTATTAATTTTGTCCTTTGTTTTTCTTGCCTTAGGTGTTGTATCAGTGAAAATTCTCCTGCATGTATGTCTGAAATTTTGTTGCCTACATTTTCTTCTAGGATTTTTATGGATTCACAGTCACATTTAAGTCTTTTATCCATTTTGAGTTTATTCTTGTGTATGGCGTAAGTTGGTGGTCTAGTTTTTTTTTTTTTGCATGTAGCTCTCCAGTTTTCCCAGCACCACTTTATTAAAGAGGCTGTCTTTACTCCATTGTATGCTCTTGCCACTTTTGTCAAATATTAA